TCCCTTTCTTTTCCTTCCTTTCTCCCTCCCCCCCCCTTTCCTTCTCTCCCTCTCTTCCTTCCTCCCTCCTCCTTTCTTTTTCCTCTTCCCCCCTTTCATTTCTTTCCTTCCCCCCCCTCCTTCCTTCCCCCCCCCCCTTTTCCCCCCTTTTCCCCTTCCCCCCTCCAACTTCCTCTCTTTCCCTCTCTTCTCCCCTTTCCTTCTTCTTCTTCTCCTTCCTTTCCTCTCCTTTTTCCCTTTCCCTCCCTCCCTCCTTCCCTTCCTCCCCTTCTTCCACCCCTCTTCTTTCCCCCTTCCCCCCCTTCCTTCTCCTTCCTCTCCCCTTCTTCCTTTTTTTTCCTTCCCTCCCCTCCTCTCCCCCCCCCTCTTCCCCCCCCCCCCTTCTTCCCTCTCTCCTTCCTTCTCCTCCCTTTCCTTTCTCCAACTCCCCCCTTTTCTTCCCCTTCCTCCTTTCAACCCCCTTCTTCCCCCTCCCTCCCCCTTTTCTTCCATTTCCTTCTCTTCCATTCCTTTCCATTCTTCCCTTCTTCCTTTCCCCCCATCCCTCCCTCCTTTCTCCCTCTTCTCCCCTCTCCCCCTTCCTTCCTTCCCCCCCCTCTCCTTCCCTCCCCTCCCCTCATCCTTTCCTTTCTCTTTTCCTCTCCTCCCCTATCCCTCCTTCCCTTCCCTTCTTCCCTTCCTTCCCCTTCTTCCTCCCCTTCCCTTTTCCTTCCTTCCTCTTCTCCTTTCTTCCTTCCTCCCCCCCCCCTTCTTCTTTTCCTCCCTTCCCTCCTCACATCCGCCCCCTCCTCCCTTTCTTCCCCTTCCCTTCTTTCTCCATTTCCCCCCTCCTTTCTCCCCTTTTCCCCCTTCCACCTCCTCTCCCTCCCCCTTCCTTCCCTTCTTTCTTCTCTCCCTTTCCTCTTTTCCCTTCCATTCCTTCCCCCCCCCTTCCCCATTCTCCTACCCTTTCTTTTTTCCCCTCCTCTTCTTCCTTCTCCTTTTCCCTTTCTTTTTCCTTTCTTTCATCCCCCCCCCTTTTCCCCCCCTCCCCCCCCCCTTCCCTTTTCTTTTCCTCTCCTCTTTCCTTCCTTTCTCCTCCTCCCCTTCCCTTCTCATTTTTCCTTCCTCCTCCCCCTCCCCCTTTCTTTCCCCTTTTCCTTCCCTTCCCCCATTCCAGTTTTTCCTTCCCTTCTCTCCTCCATCCCCCTTTCCCTTCCTTTTTCCCCCCTTTCTTTTCTCCTTCCTTCTTTTCCCTCTATCCCTCCATCCTCCTTCCCCCCCCCTCCCTCCCCCCTTTTCCTCCCCCTCTTTCCCCCCCTTTCCCCCTTTCCTTTCTCTTCCCACTTCCTTCCTCCATTCCTCCCTCCTTCTCTTCCTCCCAACCCTCCTTCTTTCCCTTCCCCCCCCCTCTTTTTTCCCTTCCTTTTTCCCCTTCCCCCCTTTCTTCTTACTTTCTTTTTCTCTTCTTTCTTTCTTTCTTTTCTTTCTTCCCTCTTTCCCCCTTTCCTTCTTTCCTTCCTCCCCTTCTTTTTTCTTTTCTTTTTCCCTCTTCCTTCCTTCCTTTCCTTTCTTTCTTCCTTCCTCTTCCTCCTTCCTTCCTCCTACCCCCCCTCCCTTTTTCCTCCCTTTCTTCTTCCTTCCCCCCCCCCCCCCCCCTTCCTTTTTCTCCCCTTCCTCCTTCCACCCCTCCTTTCAACTCTTTTTCTTCCCCTTCCTCCCCCTTTTCTACCCCCTCCCTTTTCTTCCTTCCCCCTTCTTTCCTTCCCTTCTCTTCCCCCCTCCCTCCCTTCCCTTCCTTCCTTCCCCTTCCTTTCCTTCCCTCCTTCTTCCCATTCCCCCCTTTCTTCCTTCCCTTTTTCCCTTCTTTTTTTTCCCCCCTTCCTTTTTCCTTTTCCTCCTTCCCCTTTATCTCCCCTCCTTCATTCCTTCCTTCCTCCCCATTCCTAAGTCCCTCCTTTTTTTATTCCTTCCTCTTCTTCTTTCCTCCCCCCCTCCCCCCCACTTTCTTTTCCCCTTCCCCCCCCCCTTCTTTCCCCCCTTTCCCTTTCCTCTCCCCTCTCCTCCCTCTTTCCTCCTTCCCCTCTCCTTCCCTTTTTTCCCCTTCCTTTCCCTCTTCCATTTCCTTCCCCTTCTCTATTCCATTTTTCCTTTCCCTCCCTCCCCCCCTTCCCATTCCCCTTTCCCCCTTCCCTCTCTTCCTTCCTTACTGTCTCCCTCCCCTCTTTTTATTTCCCCTTCCTCCCTCCCCCCTTCCTTCCCTCTCTTTCCTTCATTGTTTCCCCCATCCCCTTCCCCCCTCCCTCCTTCCCCTCCCCCCCCCCCCTCCCTTTTCTTCCCCCCCCCTCCCCTTCTCCCCCCCATTCCTTCCTCCCCCTCCTTCCTTCCTTCCTTCCTTCCCTTTCTTTCCCCCCTCCCCTCCCCTTTTTCTTCTTTCCTTCCCCCCTTCCTTCATTTCCTTCCAGCCTTCTTCCATCCCTCCTTCCCTCCTTCATTCCTTCCTTCCCCATCCCACTTCCCTCCCCTCCCTTTTCTTCCCTTCCTTCCTTCCTTCCCTCCCCCTTCCCTTCCTTCCTCCCTCCCTTCTTCCTTCCTTCCTTCCTTCCTCCCTTCCTTCCTTCCTTCCTTCCTTCCTCCCTTCCTTCCTTCCCTCCCTTCCTCCATCCTCTCCCCCCCTTTTTCCCCTCTCCCCCCCCCCCCTTCCCTTCCCCCCGCCGTCCTTCCTTCCTCCTTCCCCCCTTCCTCCTTTTTCCTTCCTTTTCCCCACCCCTTTTCTTTCTTTCTCTTTCTCCCCCCCCCCTCCTCTCCTCTTCCCTCCCTCCCTTCCTCCTGCCTTCTTCTTCCTTCCTTCCTCCTCTCTCCCCTTTCTTTCTTCATTTCCTTCCTTCCTCCCTCCCCCCTTCCTTCCCTTTCCTTCATCCTTCCCCATCCTTCCTCCATCCAATCCCTCCCTCCCCATTTCTTCCTCCCCCGCCCTTCTCTTCCCCCTTCCTTTCTCTTCCTATCCCCCCTTCCCTTCCTTCCTTCCCCCTCCTCTTCTTTTCCTCCTTCCTGCCTCCCCTCCCCTCCTCTCATTTCCTTCCTCCCTCCCCCCCTTCCTTCCTTCCCTTTCCCTCTTCCTTCATTGTTTCCTCCATCCATTTCCTTCCTTCCTCCATCCAATCCCCCCTCCCTCCCTTTTCTTCTTCTTCCCTTCTCTTCCAATCCATTCCTTCCTTTCCTTCCTTCCTTCCTTCCTTCCTTCCTTCCTTCCTTCCTTCCTTCCTTTTTTTCTTTCCCCCCATCCCCCTTTCCACTTCCTTCCTTTCTTCCTTCCTCCTTCCCTCACCCTCCTTCCCCTCCCTTCCTCCCAACCTTTCCCCTCCCTCCCTTTTCCCTTCCTTCCTTCCTTCCTTCCTTCCTTCCTTCCTTCCCCCCTTCCTTCCTTCCTTCCTTCCTTCCTTCTTCCTTCCCATTCCCTCCCATTCCCCCTTTCCTTCCTTCTTCCTTCCTTCCTTCCCTTTCTTCCATCATCCATTCCCTCCCTCCCTCTCTAATATCCTCCCCCTCCCTCCTTCATTCCCCCTCCATCCATTTTCATTCCTTCCTTCCTCCATCCCATTCCCTCCCTCCCTCCCCAATTCTTCTTTCCCTTCCTTCTTTCATCCCCCCCATTCTTTCCTCCCACCCCACCCATCCTTCCTTCTCCCCCCCCTTCCTTCCCTCCATTCATTCCCTTCCTTCCAATATAAGGGGATACAGGTTCTGTTTATTCATCCCAATCTAATAACAGCCCAACATATACTAGTGCTCCCCTGTTCACTCCCTACTGACACCCCCCCAAAATCATTGTGAAAAAAAACAATACAGAAATAAATTGTAAAAAATTTAAATTAAAAAATTAGATAAATTCTGACACCCCCACCATTGCTCTACTGACACCCCTCCCCCACTGGCCACCCAAAAGCATTTTGAAAAAAAATGATAAAAATAATAAAACAGTAATTTGTAAAAATATATCATAAAATTGTAAAAAAAAATTTAAATAATACTAATAAAAATGAAGAACTACTGACACCACCTACTGACACCATCCTACACATACTACCCACTGCCATACACTCCGCACTCCTCTCCCTGTACATACTGCCCACTGTTATACACTCCACACTGTACATTCCCTATTTAACATTACCTTCTTCTGCATTATATAAGTCATCTCAGACACTATTTAACAACACCCTTTTTAAGCCATGCCCAATTTTTAGCGCAATTTAAAACACACCCCCCCTCTCTCATCCCTTCCTCCCTCACTCCCCCTCCTCTCTCTCACCCCTCCTCTCTTTTCACCCTCTCACTCCCATCTCTCTTTCACTTCCCCCACATGGCAGCCATCTTTAAACCTGGAAGTGCCCAGTGGCTTCTACGGAAAGAAGCCGGGAACATTTATGTAGACTTTGCTGCAGTAAATATTTAAATGCCCCTTCTATGCAGCTGAGCTGCAATATGAAGGTAGGGTGTTGTGTGGGTGTGTCTTGAGTGTAGGCGGGGGAACAGAGGGCCCCATTACCTCTTACTGCCCGAGGGCCCCATGAGTTGTCAGTCCTCCCCTGGACAGACATTAAATCCACACTTGCCTCTGTTATTGCTGATCTTTGAGCTGGGCAACATGTCAGAGAGGCTCACTACGGCAGGGTAAGCAGTCCAGCATCAAGAAGGAGTTATCTGCGACTTGCAACAGCTTACGGTCCACTACAGTTACCATTTACTGTCGGTGGAGCAGGAGCAGATCTTTCAAGCCCTATAAACACTTTTGTAATGAGCTTCTGGAGATGACTTTTGATATACCAGTGCTTTTTGAGCAGGCCCATTGAGTGCAATGGCTGAGGGGGGTGGGGGACTTAGAACCCCCAGGAACATGGTCTGCTGCTTCGTGGACGTCTAACTTAAAGAAGAAGTCCTGCACACAGCTCATGCTCAGGAGAAGTTCACCTTTAATGGAGCCGCAGGATCTTTCTGCTATCACCCTGTGTAATCGCAGAGTCCTGGAAATACTCTGGGCTGTCCTGTGGGAGCAACAGATTACATAACTGCCTCTCAGTGGCCTACCAAAGGAAGACAGCGGTTCTTTGTTTTCCAGAGGATCTGCACCACTTTTGCTCTGTGCTGAACCTGCCAGAGCTATTGGTCCCTGAGTAGTATCAGGAGCTCAGACTCTCTGACAGCTTTCCTGCACCCTTCACACAGACCTCTGAGTAAACCTTCAGATGCTGATATTGCTCCAATTCATCTCGACAGAGCATGGATCCCCAAGACCGCTGTCGTGCCAGATGACTTGGTGCCCGCTGTCGTGCCAGATGACTCGATGCCCGCTGACTTGCCCGGTAACTCGGTGCCCGCTGACTTGCCCGATGACTCGGTGCCCGCTGTTGTTGCTCTGCCCACTGCCCAGCCTGACGTGCCTCTGCCCGCTGCCCAGCCTGACGTGCCTCTGCCCGCTTCCCAGCCTGACGTGCATCCGCCCGCTGCCCGGCCTGATGTGTCTCCGTCCGCTGCCCGGCCTGACGTGTCTCCGCCAGCTGCCCAGCCTGACGTGCCTCCGCCCGCTGCCCAGCCTGACGTGCCTCCGCCTGCTGCCCAGCCCGATGTGCCTCCGCCCGCTGCGCAGCCCGATGTGCCTCTGTCCGCTGCGCAGCCTGATGTGCCAGCCCCTGATGTCCAGCTAAACTGGCCAATAACTGATTCCCAGCCTGCTCCTGGAAATCCTGTGTCCAGCAGCCTGCCTTCCTGGGTTCCCTTACATAAAGAGAAGTCTGCCAGGAGGAAACCCAGCCAGTCGGTTTGACTCCGGCAGTAAGATATCCAGCCAGTTACCTGACCCGGGCGGTGGAACATTTTGCCCACTAGGGACTGTTTGGAGCGTCCTGAGGCCGCTCCTTGAGGGGTCGGGTACTGTCAGGAATGGACTCAGCACTGGTGGTGGGGGACTCACCTGCCGTGTGGGCTGCAGTACCAGGGCTGACAAGCGGGTGCTCTCAGCAGCCAGAAGCTCACTCCTGTAGTCAGCCAACAACCTGGGGCTGATTGCAGGAGGTGTATTTAAGGAATGACCTGGCCTGTGATCAGGGCCTTGGTGTATGTTTCCCATGAGCCCCTGTACCTGGTATCCTGTGTTCCTGCCTCGTCACTGACACTGCTTTGATCCTGACCTCTGCTGACCGTCTCCTGTTGAACCCCTGGCTTGCCTGACCATCCTTCTGCCTGATCCTCAGTACCGTGCTGCCCGCTACCTGCTGAACCTGGTTTGTGACCCCGACCATTCTCTGCTTGCTCCTCCCATACCACACTGCCCGCATGATACCGACCCGGCCTGTCTGACTACGCTTACTTCACCCGACGATCCATCCATCCCGCATGGATCACCTTTAGTAAGTCTGCCTGCCTCTTCCCATCAGACTCCATTCCTGCACTCCCCCTGCCAGTACACTCTACCACAGCCGGACGCACTCAGGGGTCGCGACCTTTTTCCAGTCTGCACCAAGTCCATCCCCACCATCAGGGGCCCTGGTGAATAGCAGGCTGGGACTTAGACCCCGCGCCCTGAGGAAATCCGTGCTGTGGGCTGCTAGAGACACTGCCAGGCGGCACCTGACAGTACCTTACGGCCTGCCTGACCATTCCACCTCTCCAGCCTGACTACGCCTGTGTTCCTGAAGCCTGCTACTTCCCTGTGTGAGTCCACACATTTCTGGTCATACCTGGATCCCTAACACTCCTTATGGAGGGTGTCAATGATGGTTTTCTGCACAACTGTCAGGTCAGCAGTCTTTCCCATGATTGTGATTCATACTGAACCAGACTGAGAGAACATTTAAAGGCTCAGGAACCCTTTGCAGGTGTTATGGCTTAATTAGCTGATTAGAGTGGGACACTTTGAGCCTAGAATATTGCACCTTTTCACAATATTCTAATTTTCTGAGATTGTGGATTTTGGGTTTTCATGAGCTGTAAGCCATAATCATCACAATTATGACAATTCACGGCTTGAACTATCTTGCTTTGCATGTAACGAGTCTATTTCATATATTAGTTTCACCTTTTAAGTTGCATTACTAAATTAAATGAACTTTTACACGATATTCAAATTTTTCAAGTTTCACCTGTATAGATTTTTTGTATTTAAGCATTATTTTGGTGTGTCTATAATTTATTGTTTATGTGAACCTTTTATGTGGTCAAGTGTGTGTCACTTATCACTTTTGTTTTAGGAATTTATCCCTAACAAGGCATGTACATACAGTTTTGCACTACTGATTTGTAATTAATAGATCCCTCAAGTGAGGATTAGGGGGATTGGGGATTTTTCACAGATACAAATGATTGTTTGTATGGATGTCACTTTGTCACTTTATTTTACACTCACAGATCCATGAAGGATCTGATCACTTTATTATATATTTATTTATGGTATATTTATTTGTACATAGGATTTATTATTTAGCGCTGCACTATATTGTATTTTACTTAAGTCACATACACCTTGGTATTAGGTTATAAGTGCCAGCAGCTTAGGGGTAGAGAGGATCCATATACGCGCAGGAGGACTTTATAATATCATTACTGTCCAAATCATGTAGATTTCACCTCCACAACATCTCCAAGACACGGCCGTTCTTAACCTCTGAAGCTACTAAGCAACTTATTCACTCCCTGGTTATCTCTCACCTTGACTATTGTAACTCCCTCCTCATTAGCCTACCTAATTGCAGGCTTTCCGCTCTTCAGTCTATCATAAATGCTGCTGCCTGTCTCATCCACCTTACTAATCGTTCCATATCTGCCATCCGTCTCTGCCAATCCCTCCACTGGCTTCCCATTGCGCAATGAATAAAATTCAAAACATTAACAATAACATATAAAACTGCCCCAAATTACATCACCAATCTTGTCTCCAAATATCACCCTAAATGTCCTCTCCGCTCCTCCCACAACCTCCTGCTCTCTAGCTCCCTTGTCTCCTCCTCCCATGCTCATCTCCAGGACTTCTGCAGAGCCTCCCTCATCCTCTGGAACTCTCTACCCCAATCTATGAGACTATCTCCTACTCTACCCACTTTTAGGTGATCTCTGAAAACCTATCTCTTCCTTCAGCTAACAATGGACTTCTATTCCTCCTACCAGTCCATCTCCTTTATTACCTTTTGTACCACCAGCAGCTCCTTCTTAGATTGTAAGCTCCGAGGAGCAGGACCCTTATAACCTTCTTGTATTGAACTGTATTGTTTCTGTATTGTCTCCCTTTATATTGTAAAGCGCTGAGCAAACTATTGGCACTATATAAATCCTGTATTATAATAATGATAATAATAATAATAATATTAAAAGAACAGTTTTCAAGGAGTGGAAACTGCATTTATTTTTCAACATATTCCCCTGCTACTTTAATATACTTATCTTAATGTCTGGAAAGCTTTGGCATAGAAAGATTTGTCAATATGCCTGAACCATCCTAGGACAGCCTGCTTCACTTCGTGAATGATTGAATTCACCATTCCCACAGAAAGATTTGTCTCTTGTGCAATTTCACAACAGGTTATGAGTCAATTATCCAAGATCAGGCGTTCCACACGCTGATTGTTCACAGGAATAACTGTGGCTGGGAATCACCACAGCAAGAACCGTCACAACTGAGGTCACTTTCTGAAACTGTGATTGTAATGTTACACTGTATTGAAGCTTTTTGTTTAGAGTGCCCATATTCTGTAAATGTTAAAATGTTGTGGTGTTTGTGTATTCTGGCACCATTGAGAGTGCTGCTTTCCCAGTATTGTTATTTTATGGTGTTTGATATTTAGGTTTACAAACACTGAGCACAGGGGTACACACACAGATATAGTTAATATTCAATTCACCTGTTAATAGCTATTAACAGTTGTTGTAGGGTAAATCCTTTGGTTCATGCTTTGTAATGACCCAATCCTTTCAGAATAATGGAAATTATTTGGGCATCACTGATGCTTGTACCTATTTTATAGTTCCCACTGAGTAAATAAAATTAAAGCTTTGTTGTGTACAATTACCAATAGGGCCTGATCCATATCTACTGGATCCATGGAAGACATTATCCTAAACATTATTGTCCGATAAATTCTCTTTCTATAACAGATGAAACATCATCTCTCCTTCTATACATTAATATTCCACATTAAACAAAACAGTTATGTGCCAATGTTTCTAATCATATCAGAGAAAACACTGTAGATTTTTAGACAAATGATCTTCACTCATTGGACAAAACAGTATTCTTTGCTGGATAAATTCTCTTCTCACATCAGAAAAACCACCAGATGCATTGTCAGATGCTTTTTCTTCCCATACTAAACATAACATCATATTTCATCAGATAAATGCTCATGCTGGATCTTAGCTATCATTAAACATCTAACATAACATACTTGAATATCCAGATGGCAGTGGATACTCCAATAACAGCTCTGGTGATATTTTATGCTTGATGCTGCCACTTCATAAAACATGAGCTATGCTCCTCATTCATTGCTCATTACACTCATTTTACATTTTATTTTTATCCACTAGAGGGTGCTGATGCTATATAGCAGACAAAACCTAAGCATTACTATTAGGCATCATGTTACTACTAATTGTACATTACACACAGTTTCGTAGAGAGGCATCATATCTACAAGAAGGAAATGTTGTATATTGTGTCTCTTTCTTCTGCCAGTTAAAATTATTTTTCTGGCCTGCATTTTTAGGCAATCAATGAGATTTTCTTTCTTTCAATGAATAAAAGTGAAAGTTTTCATTTCACTGAAAGTTGGCCAATGGTATAAACATTTCAGTAAAATGACCCAATCTCTTAAAAATTCTATGGAGTCAATGGGGAAGGTGAAATAAAAGTTATTTTAAGGGGTCTTTTTGTGTATTTTTTCACTCAGGATTCACTAATTATTTCTAATTATTGTAATGATGGGTCCTGGACGGGTGCTATGTTTCACCTATATTGGGTTTGGCTGTGACCCCTTTAGGGAGATGATTTTGGTGTACTCAGGGGTTCTCACCCATGCATGAGAGGGTGAAAGGTTCTGGAACAGTTCAATCATAAAGGAGAGGACTGACTTACAGTTCTCTCCCCATTGATCATTTTCTGTTTGGGGTCCGGAATTTTGGAGGTGTAGACATATATTTGAGAGGGAAAGAACCTCCACCCCTGATTATTGGGACACTGGGCCTGAAAAGCTTATGCTTACCTCATGGAAGCAGCACTTAAGATGGGAAGCTCCAAACGCAGTAGGAGTTTGGAGAGGAGACACCTGTCTCCATGCTGTATGCCTGCTGGAAGCTGCAAAAACGACTGATTCGGGACTTTCCTTTGTAAATCCCTTATGTGAACTTTGCATGTGTAATGTTTCATTTGTGCTGAAGATAAGTGGACTTTTTTTTTGTGTTGCTGAAGTTAGGACTTGTTCACACTTGACTAAATTTCTAACTCTTACCAGACGTTCCTATAGCATTAGTATAGGCGTTAGATAGGAGTTAATGAGCTTTAGTATGGGCATTACGTGCAAAACTAGCGTTGCTTAGAAACCCTATTTAAACAGCTATGGTGTGGACTGCACGTTGTCCTGGCGAAGCTACTCTTGTACGTAAGCGAAATGCAGTGACGTCACTGAGTGTCACGTGACATCACATTGTCATGCCCCCACGCCCTATGATACTCTGATGGCGAAACACAAGGAGTGAGGGCTACAGGCAGATTCCATCTCCAATAAGGAAACAGTATGCGGTGAATAGACTATGGAGGAAAGAGGAAAATC